GCATATTCATTCATGACGGGGTCTAAAGAAGACTGCTGCGGAGGACGGCATGCTGTCGAGGTTTCAGGACTTGTTCTTCTTAACACTTGCTGCGCAGTTGCTGTGATGGTCTGCTTTAGTTCATTCCTTTATTGTTGACCTTTTCGCAAAATATTTCCCCTCTCTTTTTATTCTACAACACTAGTTAGATCGATTTACAGTCCATATTATAGATCGATTTGCACTTCAGCCCCTAACAACAGTCAATTTATCGATTATGACAGCGCCCCGCTGCTGCATACAATTTGTTCGGCCTTCGCGTCATGTGTCGTTCAGTTGAAGTACCGCCGGGGAAATTCTGCTAGCGTTGTGACGTTCCTTGGCCTTGGAACTGGAGACAGACACTACTTATTGTAATTAGGTGCCAGGGATGATCGATGGGGCGGAGTTGTAGTTGGGATGGGGTATCCCAGGGTAGTCCACTTGGGGCTGTGTTTGGTGCATGAGATGAGCGATATGTTTGGCATTCGTTGTTCTTTTTGCTGGCCTTTATTTAACTTATTCCATTATTTGTTCCATCTTTTGATGCTGCTTGGGTACATTTGATACAGCATTATCATTTGATCAGTGCTCTCATTCATTCGATCATTTCAACTGAAATATTTATTTGGGATTTAATAGTACAGTTACTGTTGCTACTGTAACTAAAGAACAGCGTTGAAGCGTACTCCTAATTGTATTGAATTTTATCAAGCTTCAATTATCGCAAGTTGTGCGACGTACCTATACATTCTCATCATTGTTCTTGCATTCGCCAGCCATTGTCGAACCAATGGCGACCAATCTTTCATTTGGATATTGGCGTGACGTGTGTCTTTTATAACTCTCTGATATCTCTGTATAGATGTGAAATTACGTCGACTTTTAATGCTAAACATTACTATCAGGTAGCATATTTCGATGTTCTGCATAGTTTCCTCCGTCCCCACCATTCCCCACAGTGGTTCCCCATGGCTATGAGGCGCCGTTAGCCCGGGCCATTCTACCGTGCCATCGTAAAGTGTAGCTGGGGAAAACCAGACTCTGGCCCGACCAAAACCAGGCTCTGGCCCGGGCTCTGGGGGCACGACAGAACCACTATCAGCTCTGAGGGGATTGGGGCTATCAGCACCGGGACCGCGATAAGAGGGGAGGATGTCACACAGTGGCGGATCCAGCTCAGAGTTTTGGGAGGGGGACAAACCATAACAATTTATCGATTCTTTCCATGCCTCGTCCATAGGCGTAATGTTAAAATTATGCCGTTTGGGAGGGGCAACTGCCCATTTTGCCCCCCCCCCTGGATCCGCCACTGATGTCGCACCTGCGGTATAGAGGCTGGAGATGAGGGGGACGGGCATGTTTGCCTGATACTGATATGATAGCAACTTGTTGAACGGTGTGACTAAGTTCGGTGGAAGTTTTTAGATTAATTTTGGTGATGGAGTATTGTGTAAGGTCTGTGGGTGGTATCTACTGACCGTTGCTATCGGATAGGTATAGGTTTGATAGGTATCGGATAGATACATTTGTATGCAATATTCCTTTTTCTTTCGTCACATATGTTGGACTTTTAGGAGCTCTACAAGTTACAAAAAGTGCATTATGCCGATATTTACTTTTTATCATTCGGAGCTACCACAGCATTTTCGATGTTGGCCACCATCACGATCAAATTGCACAGGCGCCTGACCTGAATACTGTGAATGGCGTTGCACCATCCTCCCCACTGCCTGAGGTGGTGTGTCGTCCCATTTGTTTTCGTTGAAGATGCTTCGGAGTCGGGGTTTGCAGAACCCGTTTCCAGAGAGTTTTGCTCCGGAGCCGGGGTTTGCAGAACCCGGATCCAGAGAGTTTTGCTCCGGAGCAGCGGTTTGCAGAACCCGGTTCGAGAGTTTTGCTCCGGAGCAGCGGTTTGCAGAACCCGGTTTCAGAGAGTTTTCACGAACATGATTGGGGTTCTAAAAACCAATGTAGCCGGAGTACAGCCTAAAACGTCAGTCCATTGTTAGTGTACATTGGGCGTCACGAGGGATACGTTGGTAGAATGACCAATCTGTACACAAAGACAGCGGAACTGGAAACATCTTTTAGTCTTTAGCTTTGCGAATTCCTTCAGAAGTCTGGGAGGATGCTTTCTTTGAAGACTGATTGAGTGCTACCTGGCTCATGGATCGCACGTTTTCGGCTACTCCGGTTTTCAGATGTGTTTACACGGTTTTGTATGGGCTTGGTACGGGTTTGGCTCACTTTGGCTCGTTCTGGCTCATTGTCGCTCGTTTTTTGAGTCGTCGTGATTCGATGTGGCTTTTTTTGTAGTAATGGACACATGTTTCTTTCACTGTAAATCAGGTAGACTACTGCTCGCAGCTGAGACTCTCCCAGGCTTCTGGGATCCTGGGGACTCCCCTAATGTACTCATTACATTCAGTTAGAGACCGGCGCTCAACTTTCCAATGACTTCGGAGCGTTATTTATTTGTGTTACAAGTGAGCGTTGACGAAAACCGCCGTGACAGTCACCTTAGAATTATGGGCTCTTGATCGATATGACACCATGGTCCCAAGGGGACTTACCTTTCTTTAGAATGCTTCTGGATTAGTAGGTATGGAATATTTTAAAAGGAAAGTTGAAGTTAGCTAGTGGTTTCATTGATTGGAATGGAAAAATCAACCTATAGTCTGACAAACCTAAGAAAGAACGGATGTAAAGCGCAACCGCCGTTGTTGCACGTGCCTTGACATTGCCACAAATACTTCCGAAAACATTTTTCTCACGGTTTTCACACAAATTTTCTCCGAACCGTGCATTTCCAGTGACCAAAACACGTGCGAATTGATAAATGCGCTCAACTCCGTTCTTTCTTATGATTGTTATGACTATGATTATGATTGTTAGACTAGTTACCCCAGATACACATGACCCAAGTCCGGCACCGCGCCCGCGGCGAAACTCGACTTTATGAGTGGCTCTGACCTGAGGGTCCGGGCCCCGCGCTGTGTCGTCAGGTCGTCACGGCTGGGCAGCTCACTGTTTGGTATGCAGGGTGGCCTGCTGTCTGCTGATTTAAATACCCGTTCATGTGACCTCTGAGTCATTGCTGGGAATTACCGGGTGCGTTGGTGTAGGGGGCTGTATAGTCTGTCTTAAAAGTACCGCGGAAAGTGAGGATGGATCCATCGAGCCTGACCGAGGAAGGGCCTGCTATAATTTGAAAGTCACCGAACCAATTGACAATTGGGGAATTTACGAGGATGTCCATTGCTTCGGTAACTCAAATTTAATAGTCCTTCCTCGGTCAGGCTTGATGGATCCACCGTTACTTTCCGCGGTACTTTTAAGACAGACTGTACAAGAGACGGAGAAGGTGAAAAAATGAAAGGCATTGATTTGGGGATAGTTAACTACAATGTAATGCAGTTTGTAATGCACTGTCATTGCATCGACTAATGCTCGCCAGAATATTCGTTAATATTTAAGTTCCATCGCTGAAAACCGATTCAAATTCACGTGCCCCGGTTACTCAAATGGCCCGCTCTGTCGGCTGACGAATAATGTCCCAAAATTTGCCAGTTTGGGTGGGAAATGACATCCAAATCAAAATAATTTTCCGCTCCCACCTCTAACTTTCCAGAGCAATTTTTCACTCCCTATTTTACAAATAAAGAGCATCTGTGGGTACCTTTTACCTCCCTCCATTTTCGATTCAATTATCTTATAAAGCAACTCCCACATCCTTCAACATTCACAAATACATTGTTGATCCCTGTTTCCGCTCTTTTTTGTGCCTTTCTGACTGGCATTTTTCCACTCTCAGCCCTCTTTCTAGTGACGAATATTCCCCTCCGACACCCAAGCTGAAATATAATTTTGGGACGCTGCTGACGATGCCAGCTAGTTTCGCAGTGTGTCGCTCTAACTTCCTCAGTTCGGTGACCTTCTGTGGTCCGACCTCACTGCTCCATCCATTATTCAGTGTCGCTGCGGCTGCATTATTTCGGCTGTATCCCTAGAGGCCCGAACAGTGCCCGATGTCCCGGCGTTCCCCAGCGGTCTGGTATAGGGGTCCGACTGTGTCTCCAGAGGCCCGAACAGTGCCCGATGTCCCGGCGTTCCCCAGCGGTCGGGTAGGGGTCCGCAGAGTGGGTGCAGGTGCCGCGTTGGACGAGTGTGGATTGAAGGGGTTCCTCAGGGCTGCCTATTCGCGCCTTTGTTTTAAATACGCAGTTTTACGGGTTGTTTTACGCTGCACTTCCTTGCTGAAGGATGCTTTTCACACCAACAAGCTTATGACGTAGGTGGACCTAGGCAAAATTTATTTCCGTGTTCTTAGTTCTTTACCTTGGCAACCACACAACCATTCCCTGCCAACAGTTCACATATAAAATTCTGTCCACGCTGTGTCCATGCAGGCCACATCTAACATTCTGTCCAAATTGCACATCTAGGATTGTGTGAAATGTGCACCCAGTGACTACATCTAACACTCTCTCCACTTTGTGTCCACATCTAACACTCTCTCCACCTTGTGTCAACAGCTAACACTATCCACCAGTGTCAACATCTAACACTCTCTCCACATCTAACACTCTCCACCAGTGTCCACATATAACACTCTCTCCACCTTGTGTCCACATCTAACACTCTCTCCACCAGTATCCACATCTAACACTCTCTCCACCGCCTGTCCACAGGTCTAACACTCTCTCCACCAGTATCCACATTTAACACTCTCTCCACCAGTATCCACATCTAACACTCTCTCCACCTTGTGTCCACATCTAACCTTCTCTCCACCTTGTGTCCACATCTACCACTCTCTCCACCTTGTGTCCACATCTAACACTCTCTCCACCAGTGTCCACATCTAACACTCTCCACATTGTGTCCACATCTAACACTCTCTCCACCACTGTCCACATCTAACACTCTCTCCACCTTGTGTCCACAGGTCTAACACTTTCTCCACCTCGTGTCCACAGGTCTCCACATGGGTGGTCCGCAGCTGAAGATCGTCGAGCAGCCCCAGGAGCGGTTCAGGTTCCGATATGAATCGGAACTCGGCGGCACCCACGGCCAGCTGGCCGGACGGAGCGGGGCAGATCGACGCTCCTTCCCAACCGTCAAGGTCAGTAGGGGTGGGGTCAGGGTTAGTAGGGGTGGGGTCAAGGTCAGTAGGGGTGGGGTCAAGGTCAGTGTGGGACGGGGTCAAGGTCAGTGTGGGGCGGGGTGAGGGTCAGTAGGGGTGGGGTCAAGGTCAGTAGGGGTGGGGTCAAGGTCAGTAGAGGCCGGGGTCAAGGTCAGTAGGGGTGGGGTCAAGGTCAGTAGGGGTGGGGTCAAGGTTAGTCGGGGTGGGTAAGTTCAGTTTTGGGAGGGGTCAAGGTCAAAGTTGGGCCAAGGTCAAAGCTGGGTTAACCCTCGCATGTGTGCGGCGTTTTCCAGCTTCTAATGTGTAGGGGGGGGGGGGGGGGGTCGGTTGGACCCCCCCCCCTTGCCGTTTGGCCCCTGATCGAGCTAGAGCTTCGCGGAAAAAAACGAGCGTGTTGCCCGTCACGAGAGGAAGCCGATGATACCCAATTTTAAGGTCCTAGGTCATTGGTTGACCTTCCAGGTCAGGTCAATGACCCAAAGTCGGGAAAATCGGGACCTATTAGAAAGTCGTAAAGTGTGGCTGCTAAGGGGTTTTTCGGGGTGCCGATCACGAATATCGTGTTAGTTTTGATCACAGATGATGTCTTTAAGCATTTAGACCAGGTCGGGTCAGGTCAGGTCAGGTCAACCAGTAGGCGTCGTGACGGGTATTCGTAGTACGTGTCAACCGCCTCTGACAGCTTCGTAACATGTTACGAAGGCACCAAAACTACTTCGTAAATGTTCAAATGGTTACTAAATTCGAATTCAGCTCCAAAAACTAGCCTAGAAACATGTAAAACTCGAAAAAGTGAACCGAGGTCACCCGAGGTCACCAAAGGTCAATGACCTGACCTGACCTTCAGGTGACCTTGACACCCACCCTAATGCATGGGAGCAACGTCAAATCACATGTTTGAACGTTTGAAACCACGAAAAGCTTGCAAACGCGCGGCTAATGCGAGCCGACGTACGCCGAATCGCGATTCCGGCCAAACATGGTCTCGGAAAAGAGGTCACAGGTCAAAGGTCATTTGGGTCAGGGTCATAAAATTTTCAGGGTAGGTGTCAAATTGATCAATGCGAGGGTACTGAAAGTTTCGTCGCGATCGGCCGCTTTTTACGCGAGTTATTCGCGAAAAACCATGGGGGGGGGGTCCATCCGACCCCCCCTACACATGCGAGGGTTAAGATCAGTGTGGGGCGGGGTCAAGGTCAGTGTGGGGCGGGGTCAAGGTCAAAGCTGATGGGCGCAAAATGACCTCGCAGTTGGCGCGCCTCTAACCCCCCAACAAACAAACAAACAACAAGGACAAAGTTAGGTCAAGGTTAGTCGGGGTGGGCAAGCTCAGTTTTGGGAGGGTTAAGGTCAGTATGGGATGACTTTAAGGTCTGTATTGGTAGGGTCAAGCTCAGTGTGGGTAGGGTCAAGGTCAAGGGTTGGGTCGAGGTCAGTTTGCGGCATCTGACTGTGAGGAGGGCCAAATACACTGAGGGTAGGGTTAACAACTCCATGCCATACCTGGAGACGAATTCCAAATTTTGTTACAACTCATTTCTATCAGAAACAGATTAACACTCATTTTAGAAAGATGCATGTGATTTCACACTGAAAACGGCTGGCCGGCTCTTGTATGTAATCCTATTCGATGTGCAAGCAAGTTTCTCTCCCCGGCAATATTGAACAGTTAGCGGACTGTCCCCATGAAATGATTTCAGTGCGTTATGTAATTGACCTTTAGTGTGGCGGCCCGACACGTTGTGACAGCTGTCAGACTCAGGTGGGGGCGGGCAATTCGGCACATTAGGGGACCACACAGTGGGTGGGCCTGTCGAACGCTTAGGTACAGGTCTAGCGAGATTAAGCGGCAGGTTTTGCACTTTTACATTTCCGGTTATATCTCAGAAACCAATCGATCTACGATGAAGCCATTTTACACGATCATGGCCGGCTTGTGAACCAACAAGTCGATCGCATCTTCAACACTTAAAAGCTTAAGACGGCGAAGATATAGCCTGAAGTACACTAAATTTTCTAGGTGCAAAACCTACCGCTAAAACCCGCGAGACCTGTACCTGTTCTGCAAGAGAAACCCTTGTGGTAGTCAGTGGTGCTACGTGAAAGACCAGAGGACAGTATGGAAAATCACTTGAGCCCAATGGGTCTACTTAGAAAGACCCGTTTTAGGGCTAGGGACCCACGTAAAAGGCCCAATTGCGGCTATAGGGTGATAGGCAATAGGGGATAGGCAAAAGTGAAAAGGGATAGGCAATAGGGGGATAGGCAATATGGTTATAGTGGATATGATGTATATGTACAGACCCAGTGACCACCCGGTGGTCAAGTAGGTAGGTATGTATAACTGTTTCGTTTGCACCTCTCCTCCGAGGCTACTGCTCACGAGGCTGTTTGCGCTCGATACCCGGCGGGATCCCCAGGACATAAACAAACTCGCCTCTGGACGTTGGTAGTGTGGCTGGTACTCTCAGAGGTGGAACTTTTTGTTTTTCATTGGGGTTGTAGTTTGCCGGAGTCCAGGGTATACCCCCACCAAAACCCGAAAAGTCCCCGGATTCGGCCCACTATTTTTCGGGAGGGGCCCACATTTTCAGTTACAAAAAAAATAAAAAATAAAATAAAAGTGGTCCATCTCCAGGGAGAGACGGCTGACCCTGTCGTCCCTCCATTGGCTATGTGCCTGGTTGTAGGTACTCGGGTATCGCCAGTCGCCACCATGGTCGTGGCCATAGGCGGCGGAACGGGGAGGGCACCGGGGAACCGTGCCCCTTTGATTTTGGCATTTTAACATTAGCCCTATGGGCGTTGCATGGAAAGAATGGGATCAAAAGTCGACAGTGCCCCCCTTAATTGAGGGTATTCCGCCGCTAGGTACTGGTCGTGGCGATTCGGAAACGGTAGGTAAACGCCCAAAATCACAGTCCCCATGAATACTTGTTTCTTTCCACATTTGACACAAACATTTCTCAGTATTGGAGCAGGGCTCTTTCCCTACGAGTAACAATTTAATCCACTCGTGGCAATTGACAACGAAGACCTAAACAGGAATACGTTATTTTTAGACTAAAAAACTTAAAACGAGTCCATCTTTGTATATTAATGCCACTGTCGTCTGGAATACGTCTATTACGGAAGCGGGTAGTATAAACCGGAATAGTGACTGATCAGACATGAGATATTTTGCAAACGAGGACAACATACCGAACACAATGCCGCAAAGGAACATAACACTGGATCTAAATTATCTCAACCTGAGGAAACTAAATAATAAATGCCACAGCCTTTTCATATCACCGAATACTTCAATTAACTAGATGATCTTTTTTTTCAACGAGCAAATGTATTATGCATTGTTTGGCGAATCGTAAACGAAACGCATACTCTTCACAGCCACGATGGCTAGGAACACATAGCGGCTTGTTTGTCTGCCCCTGAGACACTGAACGTACACCGATTTTCAGCTAAATCGAAAGACCCCGCCGTTTACCGTTAAAATGTTAGTTGGCCGTTAATTCGTTAACGGTGCAAAATACCACCCCAAAGAGGCACATTTTCGGAATAAGCGCATCGAGGAGGCCCTGTACACCGATTTTCAGCCAAATCGAAAGACCCCGTCGTTTCCCGTTAAAATGTTGATTGGCCGTTTACTCGTTAACGGTGCAAAATATCACCCCAAAGAGGCACATTTTCGGAATCAGCGCATCGAGGAGGCCCTGTATACCGATTTTCAGCTAAATCGAAAGACCCCGCCGTTTCCCATTAAAATGTTAATTGGTCGTTAACTCGTTAACGGTGCAAAATACCACCACAAAGAGGTACATTTTCGGAATCAGCGCATCGAGGAGGCCCTGTATACCGATTTTCAGCCAAATCGAAAGACGCCGCCGTTTCCCGTTAAAATGTTAATTGGTCGTTAACTCGTTAACGGTGCAAAATACTACCTCAAAGAAGTACATTTTCGGAATCAGCGCATCAAACAGGCCCTGTATATCAATTTTCAGCTAAATCGAAAGACCCCGCCGTTTCCGGTTAAAATGTTAATTAGCCGTTAACTCGTTAACGGTGCAAAATACTGCCCCAAAGAGGTACATTTTCGGAATCAGCGCATCAAGGAGGCCCTGTATACCGATTTTCAGCTAAATCGAAAGAACCCGCCGTTTCCCATTAAAATGTTAATTGGTCGTTAAATCGGTTACGGTGCAAAATACCACCCCAAAAAGGTACATTTTCGGAATCAGCACATCGAGGAGGCCCTGTACACCGATTTTCAGCTAAATCGAAAAACCCCGCCGTTTCCCGTTAAAATGTTAATTGGTCATTAACTCGTTAACGGTGCAAAATACCACCCCAAAGAGGCATATTTTCGGAATCAGCGCATCGAGGAGGCTCTGGATACCGATTTTCAGCCAAATTGAAAGACCCCGAAATATGCTGCTGTGAGGCTGATATTCGTTGCTGCTGATTTGACAGACGTCGCCAAAACCTTGCATTTGTATCAAATGCGTCATGCTGGCTTACATGTGACTTAGTTTGCATCGTTTGCATTCTGTTCGCGAACCTGTCAGTAAGATTATCAGCACTAATTATCGCACAGGATTGGTTTTTACTTTTTATGGTCGTCAACGTTGATTTCAAGTGTCGTCATTTTAGCCAAATATTCGTGCTGATTGGTGGTATTGTGCCAACTGACAAAATTGCGAACAGAGTGATATTTCACTTAAAGGGACCCTCCCACCTTCAAAAAAGTTAATGAATTGGCATGAAAGTGATGTCGCTCGGTTCAGAAAGAGCAAAAACGAATATCTACCAAATTTCATCGAAAAATATTCACCGGTTTTCAAGATATTAGACTTTTACTTTTGTTTACTTTTTGGAATCTCCGCTGTTCCTAGCGACTTTATTTGAAAGTGCGGCATTTGTTGCGCGCAAAGCAGCATATACCACCGCGTGCTACAAAACGTTTTAGTCAAACATTTAAC